AAATGTTATTAAAATGTAATGAAATTTTTTAACAGTGATGCTGTCCATACCCAACGTAGCCAAGAAGCTGTTCTGAATAATTTTTAACAAAATCATTGTTCAGTCAGCATAAAACAGCTCAATAGCGTCACAGAATACATGTCCAGTTAGTATGACACACTTGTATTTTTGGTTGCAGGCTGCTGCTCGCCAACTGAATGGGGAGGTGCTCAACCCCCAAACCAGGACCAAGATGAACGCTGGGATTTCGACCTAGATATTTTGACGCAGGCCCTCCTTACGCCCCCACCCCCACCTGCTCCACTAAAGTGTGTGGACTCAGGTAATCTCCTTCAAGGTTAGTTAGTTAGCGTTAGAAATCATGCCCCAGCATTTCATAATCCACGAATGAACATGAGCATTCAGGTGTAATTTTTTGCAGGTGTCGTGCAAGACTCTGACAGGACGCGGATGCCTGCTCCGGCCACGTCATATCCGCGAAAGAAAAGGTCCATTGCGTTTCCCGGTAAGTAAGTTTGCGTTAGTTGGCGTCAGGAATCGTGCCTCGTTATATAGAAAAGGGGACAGTTTATTAAATTATCCTTTTGTGTTTTTCTGCAGGTCTTCCCAAGGAACCTGAATCGTTGCATAAGCATTGGGGCCTTTTTCAAGGTAAGTTAGTAAGCGTCAGAAATCATGCCCCAGCCTGTTTGTACGTTGTAAAGAGACCATTTGAATTATCATCCTAACGTAACCTAGATCTTAACAGGTGTGAACTCGTACCTAACCTAGAAGCCTAAGTGACTCAGCCTAGGGGCGTAAGTCGGTCGGCCATGTTGGTCCGGTGAGTCTTATCAGGGCCTAACCCCGAACCTAAGATGAGAAGGGCTTAAGTGATCGAGGATTAACAGAGCATCTTATCGGGGCCTAACTCCGAACCTGAGGTAACTTAAGTAGAGCATGTGTGATCGAAGATCGTATGTCAGGGTGGCCGAGTGGTTAAGGCGTCTGCCTCAAGAGCAGGTCCGCCTGTGGGATCGTGGGTTCGAATCCCACCCCTGACATTTTCCGCGCCCGGTCGCGCGCCGTGTGTAAGTGAGGCCGCTGCGCACCGCGGAGTGTATTGTGCGGCGCGTATGAAGACCATCTCGATAGATAAGTATTACTTTGAAACATATTCTTTGTAGTGTAGCCTTTTCTTTCTCCTTGCTCACTAATGTCTTTCCCGCAGGTGAAACGGAAAAGTATGAGTATGCAACGAACGGGCTACGAACCCGTGCCATCCGCACGAAGGACAGCGCCTCAGCCCACGCGGTCGACGCGCCGCAGTGGGGCTGGCGCGCAGCGGAGCCATCTGAAGCCGGCCGGGCGACAGCGAGGCGTAGGAGGGGGTCGCTTCCCACCCAGCGTCTGTCTGTCCGCCGCCACGTAAGCCGCGTGACTGGGTAAGGTTTTTGAATATTACCTTTTGGTAATGGCCACGAGGGGCGCCACTGTCGCGCGCACTAATTG